TCCTTTCAAGAAAACGCCGAGTGGGTTGGGCCGTTGCCGCTATACTTCGCTCGACCGCAGGCATCCACGACGCTCGGATAATTAACGAGCCACTGACTAAAATAATTTGCAGGTGCAGTGGGTGGGCGGGTTAGTGCAGCGAGCGCGCTAAAAAGCTGGTTGCTGAATAAAAAAAAAATACTTTGCGGCACGAGGTAAAGCGGCAAAATAGTGCTGTTGCCGAGGATTAGTCTTACAAGCGAGTTATTTGAATGAAAGAGGTTTTCTAAGTAGATACTTGCTAATTCAGGAGTTCGGCAAATAAACTGCTGCGCCTTTTTGTTCTCTTTTCGGCTAGACCGCAAATGCTGGAACGTTACAGAAGCCTTTTACTCGCGTAAAGCTAGTTTCAAGTACGATTCTCTTGTGTATTTAGATGGAAAGAACTTCAAAGATGAGATACGCAGTATCAAAAGCTTGAACTCGAAGTCGACATCATTCGCATACAGCCAAAGCAAGCGAGCAACCGACAGACAGACATTTCAAATAGTAGACACTCATGGCGTCGCTGCTCTCAAGTATCTGTTGAGCTTTTTAGTGGAGTACGATAATCTCACTTCAACCGCCGAGTGATGCATGTTCAAATGGGACAGAGCGTCGCAACGATCTGCCTCTGAAGCAACATTATCTGCCTTCGCTGAAAAGCTCAACATATAGCCAGAAGTGAAACGCCGTATTTACTATGTTTAATTTCTGTTTATTGTAAGGAAGCTCGCGATAATTGTACAAAATTTAGTAGTAACGAGAAACGCTTATTCTCTTGACGAAAAACTTTCAATCTAATTAAAAAAAATTAAATTTTAGTCCAGGTGAAAATCGAAATGTGAACTTTAAAAATATGCACCTGAAGGATTGTTTCAAATCCAGGTTGAACATGTTGAAGTGAATGGCTGAAAAGAAAAAGTCATCAAAAGGTAATGGCCTACATCCTGCTCTTTTCCCTAACAAAACTAACTGTCGGAAAATGGTATTCCGCTACTTTTTTGTCGCGCCGGAAAATGTCATTTAAAATTACCTCCGTAATTTCCAGAAATTTTTCCAACAAGCAATCCCAGCTACGCACGAGAAATAAAAATGGGAATAACGCCTAAGCATTTCATCGCGTATAATTCAGTACAGCTGTAATTTTTCCCCTCTTGCTCCCCCCAAAAAAAGAGCAGCAGAGAGCGTGCAAATGCACTCCCGAAAAAAAAGGAAAAAAAGAAAAAAAAAGGTGAAAAACTCCATATACGGCGGACGCGCGTGAAAGGCTACTCGCACACAGCAGCGCGGTCCTCTAATTATAAATCCACGCGTTCGCTCTTGAAGAAATTTTCGTGCAGGCAGCGAAAATAGTTCCGAATGGAAAGGCCATTAATTTTACTCATCCACGCGCACGCGCGCGCGAGCGTTATTACTCGGCGCGAGGCTCGAGCTATACGCTACGAGCGTAATAACGAACGCGAGCGCGCGCGAGACGATATGAGAAAAGTTGAGATACCTACGCCTCACGTACAGAACCCACAGGCACCTTCTTCTTCTTTACTGCGGGCCGCGTGCGCGCGAGACGCGCGGAATATTCTATATGCCGCCCCCTACTCCCCGGCCAACGACGCGCGATACTGAAATCCGTTAAACGGTTGACTTACTCGATGCGCTTGTTACGAACTTACGCGCTGTCTCGATTCCAAGAGCTGTTTCAATAAGATACGTAATTTTCACGCCATCGTAGAATTGAATATTTTCATTGGGTTTCGCTCAATCGCAAACCATCTAAATGCCATTGCTGTTTGCCTGGCTAAAGAATTTTCAGAATAATGTGGTTATTTCTAAATTGAATAGAACTCAATTTTCAAGTAAACGAATTCTTTACGTGCAATAAACAATGTATTCAATTCCGATGGATAATCATTCTCGCCAAATTCACCTAAAATCTAATTTAATCATTCATAGCATCGATTACATTGATATTGCATAATCGCCATCAGCTGCAATAAAAAAAGTAAAACCACTCAAAAATTTCTTTTCATCGGAGTAAAGAAGGTATAAAAACTAGTTTAAATACATAGTTAGCTAGGCACGTCTCGTCCATCGCCTACTCAGCTCGCATAGGTCCTCCATGCAAGGCATATCCATTCCACTCTAGAAATTTTGCAAAATTCCTCATTAGAGAGCGAGTCGTCGAGAAGAGGCGCTACATAGGCATACGCGCGCGGGCATTAGCCAGCAGCACATTCTCGAGAGAGCGAAAATCCAAAACACTCAGTATATAAAAACGTCCTCGAAGTCTGCAAAAGAGGGATAGAGAATGAGAGAGAGAGAGAGAGAGAGAGCGAGATAGTTTTGCAAAGGCAGTACTAGGCAAAGGCCACTTTGGTAGCTTGGTCAATTTGCGTAATGAAGCTACGCCAGCGTCTTCGGCCTGTCAACTCGACGAGCTGTCGGTCAACGCTGTTCGACCTCTCTCCCTCCGAGATCAGAAGGAGTCAGGCGTAATTGCGTCACTCGAATCCAAACGAGCTTCACGACTATCGACGAGCGATCAAATGCTAGTAGCTGCGAGCTTCAGGAACTTGCGATAAAGATGGCTGCTATGTGAATAGCCCTGCAAGACTCGAAACGATCCTAAGAGACGTAGATGAGCTGATGGAGTTTAGAGTGCGCCGAAAATTCGAAGCGCATCGATCGTTGCTAATTTGGAAAAGATTCATTTTAATTGTACCTGCTCATATATTAATATTGAAAATGTACTTTGTCAATTACGATGCAGCTTTAGTCCACATTTGCGAACGGTAATCTCACGAATTAAGAATTCATAATGATAAATCAATTATAATTACGAGCGAGCATTCGTTCATCAATCAATCATCAGTAAATTCCAATGTCGCAATGGGCAACCAATAAAATACGATATTATGCACGGCCTGCTTTCACGAATCACGCACACACGCATTATTCAATCGGCGTGCATAAATAAATGATATACCTATAGTGGCAGCGCCCGAGCTTTCGTGCCAAACGACCGAGAAGCTGATTTATTTACCGCAACAGCGCTCTTCCGCTTAATTCGTCGCTGACTTTGATTCACACGGCTGGCACGAAATCATCGACGACCAGCTTTATGGTTTCTTTCCGTTCGACATTTTTTCGCCGTAGATTGATGAATATTCGGTTGAGTTTCCGAGTCAATTGTCAAATGGGTCAACGATCGGGTTCCGACGCGTGAAGCCCGTCAATTGGGTTATCGGTAGGATGCTACTTACTGTCGAAGTAAGCTTGTAATTATTGCATTATTCTCGTGAAATGTGCACGGTGAATATTTCCCGACAATAAGCTTAGCTTCAGCTGTCTTATTTTCAGAGCGCAGTACATACTCATCAGCGAATAAGAAAACCCGTTTACTTTGACTTTTGATGAAATACATGTCGACCTCTCCGGAATGCTCCATTCAAAAACAGCAACGAGAGTTACGGGAGCTGACAATAGTCAGAATGCACAAGACGTGAAGTTGATCTAAGACTCGGGCGCCAGTTCTTATTAAAGCAGTTGTAATTAAATAGCTCAGTTTCTAAACTGCAAGCCTCGACGAAGTTTAAACTTTCGTATAAATGCTCGCAGGAGATAACTCGACCCAATTCGAGAAATCCCGCGAAATCCTATTCGCTACGAGAATAACTCCGGGATATATAATCGACAGGCTGCATCGTAGATCCTTGAAAAACTTCGTTATTTAAAAAACACGTACATTCGTTTGGGAATTTTAATTTTTCGCTAAAAAGTCCCGAAAAATTTTGGGTAATTCACGAGGTAAACGACGAGGCTTGTCGTCGTCATTGTCACCGCAGCGCCCGTAACTTTCGCGGTTGGTTGGAGGTGGGGGGATTATCCCCTCAAAACCGCACCTCCCAACTTCCCGTGTTTGCGCTCTATCTCTGTTTTTCTTTCAAGGAATATCTCTCCGCTACTCTGTGTAAGTGAGAGCTCTTAATTTATGTTTTGGTGCGGCGCGCAACCTGCGAAAGTACCGCCAGTTGTGTTTGAATTGTGCGATTCAATTTTAAAAATAGAAACTGCACTCTCAAAATTACCCTCGTGAAGCCGAAAAAAAACACAAATTTCACATACTGAAAGACACTTTTCGTTTCGCTGAAACTCCTAGTGACCAAATAGCACAGTGGACTCATTAACCATTACCTTCGTTTCTTTTCCTCTATATCCTTTCTGTAGACTCCAAATGAGTACTGCAAACCGCAAGCGCGAGCCAACCAAGGCAGCAGCCCTTCATCCTAGCGGCAATCTAAACTTGGCTAAGTCAATAGCTGAGATTCCAAGCGCGCAATACGCCGCGCAGAGGATGAAGAGTTTCGCGTTCGCTTCCCTCTTCTTCGATTAGTTTCTTTTCAGGCAACTTTAGAGAGCGTTGCACGCCTTGACTCTCTTCTCGGATTTCCCTCTTGCGAAACGCATGATTATCCCGCGCGCAAGCGCCACCTCATGCAGCCAACTTTGAAGTGTGTGACTTGCAACAAAAGACGCGCGTTTCCTTTGTTTGCACACTTGATTTGTGAGAAACAAAAGAAAAACGAGGACGTGATTTTTATAAAGTTCCATTTTGTGTAAAAGACTTCTTTGGACAAAAATATAAAATGTATATGTCTATTTCTCTGCACATCTATCTCCCCTTCCTATACTTTCGAAATACTTGAACAAGCTATATTCTTTGTTAGGCAATGAAGTCGAAAGAGCATTTTATCAATTAATCTGTGCTTTCTTTGATTTTAATACTGTAATTAAATCTTTCTGAATTTTCAATAAATTATATTTATTGTACTGAGGCAAGCTATGTAATTTATATGTACGTGAACCTAAAAAGGTATTTAATACACACTTTTTAGAAATAAAATTTTATAGATCATTAAAATTAAAGATTATTAATCCGTCATTTTCTAATTATGCTCAAAAAGTTATCAAACTTAATTAATTAAATTATTAATTAATTAAATTTATTTTATTAAAATTTGATTATTTATTAAATATTTCCGAGATATGTGACACAAGTGTGCGAGAGCAAATTTAATTTTTCTTATTGAATGTCAAGTTATTTTACAATGTAGCCTCATTATTAATAACAAAAATTTCCTACAGTTTTCTGTTTTGCTCGATATGCGATTAGAATAACAAAAACTTTTCGTGGAAACAACAGTTATGAAACGATCAATCCTCATGAAAAATAGAATTTTTAGGGATAAAACATCTAACGAAGAAACACATAAAGTTTAGTATCCAGTCACCATGCCAGATATTTTATCCTAATAAATGTAGAAAAAAGTTACTATATCACGAAAATGAATATTAATTTTTTTATTCTGTATGTAGCTGACTGCTAAATTGGCGAAAAATATTATGAAATATTTCGTCACAAATGTGTATTCTCAATATCAAGCTTACATAACCAAAATTAAATTATTCTTGACCATTAATCCTTCCTTGGCGTTTTTGGAATAACGCATTTAATAAGAGAATAATCTTTATCTTCTTTTTTCTCTAATGAAAGTACGGCGCAATATTCTTCGCTTTTTAGCATATAATGATGAAAGCTAACATACTCAGCATCAAATCTGCCGAGACGAATTACTGGTTCAACCTTACCATTTGCATTAATTTGTTGAATGAAAATATCCTGACGACTGTCCCCATTTAATAGATCATAGTAACCAAATTCCATAGAAATCATGGCTCCGCCATCCTTAAGGTTCTTTATGTGCACATATACAAACATAGGATTTCCCTTGGGCTGCTGTACTCCGACATTAGCAATCGTATTCAAATTTGAGTCTAACAATTGACATCTCGGAGCAAGACAATCGAAGAAACTATCCGGGCAAGTATTTATACTGGTGCAGACTGTCACATTCCCATGAGTTGTTGACGAATCCAAATACTGTCCGTCTAATGATCGCTCTTTGACAATGTTGTAATTCGAATCCAAAACTCTTAAAGTTGTCGAATCATTAGCTCGAAAAGAAATCCCGTTGAGGTACCCATTGCTGACACCAGAAATATTTGTTATTGGTTCTAAAAAATACTTGCTTGCTTTATCCGTTTCCGGCATCAGTATATTATCTACTTGCAGACGTTCACCCTTGTCATTGTAACGACATGGATTGCAGGCCCGGTTTCGTAGATTATATACATCGAAAGTGTTGTAATGAGGAATTACTGCATGTATTTCCAATTGTGAATCATAATAATACGGTTTACCGTCATTAATATGAATAGGAGTATATGAAGAGCAATTCTTGAAATCAAGTATACTGAAATGAGTGTATATCGGAGTAAATGCAACCATTTTACCATTTCCAAGTTCATGCCTGTGATTTGATGGTATGATACCAGGTATTTTACAATCTTGATAGCCAGGTTCAGGTGATGTTATCACAGTACTATCATTCTCATAGTAAGTGTAAAGTCTCTGACCATTTACATTCGCAGGTATAAGTAGATGTTCTGATCTATTTTCTTGAGAAAATGTTGAATCTTCTGTGTAACTTGAGTAAATAATGTTAAAAAGAATGAGGCCGATGATACTAATATTGCAAGATCCCATGTTTTATATATTTCTTTTGTAAAATGTCCTGTAAGAGCAAGATATCTGAATATAAAATTATAATATTTCCTGCAGATAAATTTAAATATATAATATCAAACTGGATAATTAAATCTATTAAAATATCAAAAAATGACGGCGTGAAAATGCGTTAGAGTCAAGATATTATATATTGAAATGAATAAGAAAAAAGTATATATTATTTTATCTATCGCTGTGTATACAACTTTAGGTATTAAAAAAAAAGTAAGACCGTAAAAAAGATGCTATGGCAATATTTAATCTGACAAGTTAATTATCCTCGCATACAAAGTATAGACAATTTATTTTTACTTAAGCGTTCGTTTGATCCGTTACAAAAATTATACCTAGAATACGTTCAATATAATAGTTAAACACCCGCTAAGTCGCCAGCTGAAAACAGACTGATGCTACATTAATCGAATGTTTTAATGAACTCATTTTGCAAAACAGCTCTGTCTGTTATCAACTATAAAATTTGATTAGATAGTATTGCGCTTGCCTTACGATTACTTATATAATCAAAATATTAAGATATTTACATAGTAATGGAAATTTTGCAATAATTATTAAGATGACAAACAAAATAAAATATGAGAAGAACAGCTACAGTAGACATTTAGTCGATTAAAAGATTGACAAAAATTGGAGGTTTTGTCATTTTCTGAAGACTTACATTAATAACTTCTATAATAAATCGATAGCACTTAGGATATGGTGCCTTTTTCACAAAAAAGAAGAGTACTAAAGCGTATTTTAAAAATGGAATTTGATTAAGATATCCAATTCATCAGTTGAATAAGAGAACATAAAAATGTCAATTCACAAATGAAAATAAAATTAATAATGATCGTGAAGATATTCAAAAGAATGATTTTGTGAAAAAATAATATAAATGTAGTTTATATCAGAAAACTCTAGGATTTCCATATATACTTATCAATTTCATCAAAGTTTTCTCATCTCTTTCAATAAATATGATAACCCAAAGCTTACGTTCAAGATTCAGCCGACCCGCGCTAAGGAAGTACTGAGAATAAATCTCTAAAAATTTTATCAAGATATTTCGTACCATACAGAATTACTGTCAAAAGTAAAATGCAGATGACCTGCAGATCCACGTTTATGTTCAGTACTCGATTAAAATAGTTAATTATCGTGTTTTAATATCAGTTGCGGCATAATAAGTTCATAAATAGGACAGCTTACAAAGTATTGAAATCAGTGAAGAAATCAAACTAAACTCAACAGAGTTAATTTGATCTTACTTATGCGCAAAACGCGAAAAAAAGTTGCTCACGTTAGGTCATGAAAGACACTCATGCCACGAGAGAGAAAGCTAGCATAGATAGACGGTAGGAATAAAAGAGTATATATACGCGCACACGTGATTCGGCCTTTGTCGCCGAGCTTCCGCTCGGTGGTTTACGCGCGGACGCGAGGACGTGCTTGCGCACCTACCTTCAAGTTCATATCCCTAGCGGAGTGCCGTTTACACGAGCGCGAGCGCGGTTGCAGATGGATGGAGAGGGCTTTCTAAGGGAGTAAGAGCAGCACCGCACGCGAGAGTTGTAAAAATGGCTGAATGTCGTCCTGATATAGCGTCGCATGCTAAATGATCTGCGAGTTGAGGCTTGAGTTTATGAATGTGAAGATTTAGAGATAGAAAAAGCTTTCTACAGAACAGTTTTATTTTGCAGTGATAATTCATATTTTGTTTTGCGAGAAAATCAAGTCTCGAGCAGCTGCTCAAGAAGACTTTGAGTAATCTACATGTAATTTCGCTTTTCTTACATTGGTTTTTCGGTGGACATAACTAACAAATATGTTATAACTTACAATAACAAGCATAACTTCATCCATTAAATGTATAAATTATTATTTACTTAAATTAGCAAAAGCTGCTAAAATATTATATTTTTATCTTGATATTTGTAACCTTATCATCATCATAAAAAGTTGTTGAATATGATTTGCAACTGTTAGACCAATCTCTTTGAATAAAAATTTTTATTTCTTCGATATCTTGACATTCTTCTCTTAATACCTTGTCTTCACTTTTATCATTAATCGCTTGTATATGACCTTCGTTATATTTAATATCTTGGATATCAAAGATTATATTGTTGAAATTAATTGGACATTCTGTACTTGGGTTCATTTCAGTTGAAGTTATTCGTATCATTACTGTTGGATATAGATGGTTGTCGTTGTTACTTCGACATTCTGTACTTGTGTTCATTTCAGTTGAAGTTATTCGTATCATTACTGTTGGATATAGAAGGTTGTCGTTGTTACTTCGTACAATCTTTACCTTTACTTCTGGCTGGACTGTATTTATAGTTGATTGTTTCCGATTTCTCCTGCTTAAAGTAATTCAAAAGTGATTTTAAAATGAATCAAAAAGAAACTACCTTCGGTTTCTAATAGAGCATTCGCAATTCAGCCATGATACGGGACAAATACACTTTGATACCGCTCAAGCAGAAGAAATGCTACGGCAGCACAAGGTTTCAAATTAATGCTGAAAATAATAAAAATATAATTTAATTTCATTGTCATCAATACCAGGCATAAAATAGCAATATGATAATTTTTATGATTTTCCATTTCTACTGAGCTTTCCGGTTAAGCCTAAATGTTCCTTTCTTCGAATTGTCTACAGGCATTGTTGCTACTGTTTGGAAATCTCGCGATCCCATTACCCAATAACAAGCCAATATTTTTCAAACTTTAAAGGTTTTCGCTATTGGTATACAATATATAATTATTTATAAGCAATCTTAACAATATTTCTTAAAAATAGGATACTTTCAATCAAATATTTTGTGACTTAATCGGTTTATGATCATAGAGTTGCGCTGAAAAAATCTGTTACACCACAATTCATCTCGCATGCAGTATAATTTTTTACTTGTTTTTCTTTAGAACTTGTAATGCTTGGTATTTGTTATCGAATATTGCAAGAAAATCACACTAAAAAATACAAAATAATTAAGTTAAATTATTTCTTTTCATTCAACTGATAAAGAAGCCAAACGTTCACAGGTATTGTAGGAAGCTTTTATATTTCTATCTTTTTTCTGTCAGTTATATATGTAAAATAATGATTTAACTTGATTATTTTGAACTTCTTAGTGTAACACTTTTTGTAATTGATTTTCAGTTCTCTCCAAAGAAAAATTCTTAAACATTTTTTGTTATTTCTTTTAATTATGTTCTCAATTTTCATCTTACAAACCATTGTATTTTACACTGGAATTATTTATATTAGATTTCCTTTATATTATAATAGTAAGAGATATTGCTCACATGCCCTTTGAATTTGTAAAATAATATTATCCCTTTATTCTTTAAAAAATAATATTATATAAAATAAAATTAAAATAATATATAATAAAAGAAAATTATTTTTCATTCAGTATTATAGTTCCATATTATAGATGTGATTGCAAATGGGGAAATAGCACTAATTCTAGTGTAAGAGTATGCGGAGGAAAGGGGTGTATAAAATGCATCACGTGACCTTGGGTACTTTCAGCCGGACGATTTGAATTTCGAGCAATGTCTTGGCGAAAAGTTAACATTAATTAATTATTAATTATTAAAATTAATTAGTTAAATTCACAATCTAAACGATTAAACAGCTTTAACTAGTTTATGAATAGACTTGCCGATAATTTAAAAACGGCCATGCATTCCCTAACTTATAAAAAAGAAGCTTATTCTTTTAGATTTTTAAAATATTTATCAGAACTCTAAATATTATAATTTTAGTTGAACGGCTACACAGTTCGTTTTTTAAGCGCGTTTGGACTTTCACCGCTTACGCTATTTAGTTTACTCAAATCGCAATATGTTGGGTTCTATACAATATGAAAAGAGTTATTCAAATTCATTCATTTTGAGGTAAAAAATGCATGTTATATGTTGAAATATTCCTCAGGTTACAGATAAAATATTTGAATGCCCATTTATAAAGTAGATTATCTAACAGGTACGGCAAGACTTTATTGGCGAAACAAGAGATTTATAAACGAGCCGAAGGCGAACAATTATTAAAGAATAAAAATCACGAGTATTTATGAATATACTCGATTATTTTTCGTACCGAGCATACGTATCTTATCAAATTGAGTATCCGAATATGGACAAACTATACTATAAACAGCAGTTATGCATGTCGTCAACAATAATATGCATTACAGCTTACATTATTCGCACAGCGCCGCTGCGCGCACAACACGTATTTTTAAAACACTACATTGTTACTTACAAAAATTCATCTCTATTTTTTGAAAGCTGTTGGTGATATCCAATGTACTTTATTTGCATGACTATTGCGATAAATTTATTGACAATTGGTAAAGTAAAAATCGAATAATTACTTCTATAGCTAATAGTTTCTTCATCGACAGTACCAGTATTATTTTGAGAATCATCACTTATAAACGAATGTTTTGCTCTCAATTCAGTATTTCAATATTATAGATTTTTTCTATTCGAATCTATCGGCGTATAGTTACCACCGAAACTTCTATAGGCTAAAATTATAATTTTGATATTTAGAACTCACTATATCTATGAAATATACATTTACATTAGCAATTTTAGCTAGAATGTAAACAAATTTCATTACATCATCCGACAAAAGCAAATCATGACACTTTGACATGATATGTACGGGTTGCTTGAGAATTTTTTTTATTATAGAGAGAGAAATTTTTTTATTATAGAATTCGTATTATCGTCAAAAAGAAAGAAACCCAGACGCACCGATACGTGCAAAACTAATCGTTTAAAAGCAAGCTGTATTCAAACTAAAACAGTTTTACATCCTTCAAGCCAGAAGAAGGTTAGTAATAGAATAAAATATATATTGATTGATTATCTCGAAAAGTGGCCGGGCCTTTAAAATATTTTTAAAGCCATTTAATTAACTTTAATTTGATAAGTATCGAGTTCATGGGTGACCATATCGGCCTTCGTGATAATACAAAAATTCGGGATAAGCCGAGTATATGATTGAATAAACACATAATGTTGTGAAATATTACACAAATTTTCAATAAAAAAATGTACAGTCTACTTTAACGCTAGATTTCAATCGTACAAAGTCACATACATCTATTAAATTTTATAAATAACTATTTACAGCCCTTGAATGAAATTCCCGGATTACAAAGAGATTATACATATCGTGGGCATTCATATAATATTCGTGTACAAGCAGCTCAACAACTATTGAAAAGTCTGCTGCATCTCAGATAAGACCTGATTACACAAATTATGACAAAGATCATTTCAACATTTATGAATTAAGTGATGTTCACGAATGAGACGAATTAGATCAAGTATTTTTCTCTGATAGC